AAGGGACTTCCTATTTTTGAACATTTTACTCAGCAATTTGTCAGAATCTTATAAAGCCCTGCTCCATACGCAGGTCGATCTAAGGTCATATGTGTTGCGACACTTAGTGGAAAATTCCTCCTAAGGAATATCATAAAGCCCCACTCCATAAGTAGGACGATCTAAGGTCGTATGTGCTGCGAGACTTAGTGGAAAAACCCTCCTAAGGAATCTATAAAGCCTTGCTGTACACGCAGGATGAACTAAGGCCGTACGTGGTACTACACTTAGTAAAAATGCCCAATGTATAAGCCTGGTTTGGAAAGCAAATACTGCACAACTAAGTAAAATTCATTCAAGGTAATTCTACATTCTATTGTAACGCCCTTACAAATTTAGCTAAGTTTATGAGGTATTGTTTAATTTAAAAAAAATCGTACTTAGCATAAACAATATCCATTCCAAACAAAATGTCATAAACAGTCAAAACAAAGTTCACTCGTAAGCTAAAAATATATTGACAAACTAAAATACCAAAAATCAATGTTTTTAACCACCAAAGGGTCTTAGGGGGTTGGGGTAGTATCTTCAACATCCTGAGCTGTCGGTAATACCCAGACTCTAGCAGACTCAGACAACCTCCGCAACTCCTCCTTCTGCCCCTCCAGTGCCTCATCCAGAAAGGCCACATCAAAATCAGGCCTCTCATTCCTGATGTGCCCCACCAACTCCTCCGGTGTCACCACGTAGACAGCCTGGGCTACGACATCAAACTCGGAGGACTCCTTCCAGGCTTCCATCGCTCTGTCAATCTTGGCCTCAGCCTCTTCAACCCTTTTGGTAGCCTGCCTTACCATTTCGTTGGCCTCTTGTACCTTCTGGTTGGCCTCTCTGACTTTGTCGCTCTCCTCTTCTGCCAGAGCTCTGGCCTCTTCCTTCGAGGCCCTCAAAACCTTGATCTCCTCCATCAATCTCTCTTCGACATCGAGCCTGGAGTTCAGCTCGATCCCCATCTGGTTCAGTTTCTCTTCATACTCCTTCTCCCTCAGAGCGAACTGGGCCTTTTCAGCTTCCATGCTGCTGTAAAGATTGAAGGACTGATCCTTTGCCTCTATGAGTTTGTCCAGCTCGGACTTCACCTGTTTTTCAAAAATCAAAAATCAAGTAAGTCATTAAAACAGTTATAAAATTGATCAAAAATTAAGTAAGAGGTATACCTTATCCGCCACTGCCATCATGTATAAAACTGATCGGTGACCATGGAGCTGAGCAGTGACCAAGGCCTCACCAATGGACATCTCATTCAGATAGTCCTGCTCTCTCTCACCCCAGCTCCGGGTAAGCAGATTGGCCGACTCCCTCAAAAGTGAAGTGAGCGCGGCAGACATTTCCCTAGAAGGAGAAGAAGCTTGGAGATAGTCTAAAAATATTTCTGGTCTGTGTCCCACCAAACTTTCCCAGCTCGGCCTCTGTAAATCTGGGCACCGATCCTGCAAGTTTGCGGAATTGGTTCCGACAGCAGAAGGGGCAGCTGGGGATGGCAAAGAAGGAGACGGCAGGGTCGGGCTCGGCAAATGCACTGCTTCAGGAATTCTCAGTGATGCCGGGGGCGCAGATCGGTTCCTCTTCAATGGAACCTCCTCCTCCTCCTCCTCCACCTCTTTAGAACGGCTTTCCATTCGTTCTAGGACTTCTCTCTTCTTTCCGTTACCCGCAGCCTCGACCTTTGCTGCCTTGTAGCCCCGCATCTCGTCCTGATGACCTGAGAAAGCAATGAAACGCTCAATAAATATGTATATACATAAAGAAATCACAACCACGAATAAAGGTTAAAATATTACCTGAACTGGATGGAGCCGAACTCGAAGCTCGTACTTGCAACAATCCGCCCTGGTGTGAGTTCAAATCTAAAATTACAAACTTACAAGACCTTTGCCTTTTAGGTAATGATCTTATTACCTCAGCTTGTCTCCGTGTATCTTTGGTTAACGTCCCCTTCTTGTAATCTGCACAAAGGAAAAAATACCGAAATCAGTACTTCGTCAAATACGCCTTACTAAAAGACTAAAACCCAAAAAGACACTTACATAACGAATGATAGAGCCTGGGAACCATGTCCTCCCTATTCACCTCGGCAGAATGAAACTGTCACTCCCTCGATATATAGAACCACTCTTCTTTCCATTTCTTAATTGAGGAAGGGGTGTCTAACACCATAGAACCTCCCGTCCTGGGCCTAACGCTTGTGTACCACCATCCAAAGTTCTTCCTATCCTCCTTCAAAGTAAACAGAGAATCGAACTGCTGGACACATAGCTCAGGATTCCCCATTTGGTTCCACAAAATAAGGGTGGCTATTAAGGTCCGCCACCTGTTAGGGCATAGTTGCGTGGGAGCTATGCCCCACGAAGAAAGGAATTTATAAATCACCCTAGAAAAAAGAAGCCTCAGACCGACCTGAAGGATAGCCGAGTTCTGGTATTATAATAACTACCGAACTTCGAATGGTATATTTAGCTCGCCAGCTGGCTACCACATTCCCTGTCACAACCGACTTATAAGAACTCCGCCCCCCACTCCCCAGAATTACTCTCATCAACATCCTTACTGGATCTACCTGCTCCCATGGAACCTTCACATCCTAAGTCCATGACAGGGCGCCCTAAGTCAATCGGGTTAATTATGGAAATAGGAACAGGGGTAAAAACTTCTCTACAACTAGAAGACGAACTCGTTGAGAGGGAGACTGACTCTTCCTGCTGGTTGTGCCAGGAATGAACTCTAGACTCATCCAAACTCATGTATAAACTAAGAAACAAAGCACAAACTGAAAGGAGGTAGCAAATAAGAATAGAAGGATACCTGGGAAACGAACTGGGAAAACGAACTCACTCGAATACGGGAATACGAACTTAGGGAATTGCCCAAATATTTGAGAAAGTAAAACTAGCGAAATAGGAAAAGAAATGACTGACCAAAAAGAGATTTAAAGAAAGAGAAGCTAAGAGGGCGCGATCTGAGCCGTTCATCCAAAAATGGAGGGAAACAATCAACGGCTCAAAAGCCTAAAAGACAAAACAACGTAGTTTTAGCCAAGCTTGCTGAAGAAGCTACTTATAAATGGCATACAGCTCATCCACCTCAAAAGATGACACTTGTCACAGCAATAAATGTACTTCTTGGAGAAAGCATCACTGAGGTTAGCCCCCTTACGGTAGAGCTGACCTGGGGGGTAACTGTTGACATCTGAACTCCAATCTAGTATAAACAGTTTGATAATCCCACCTCAGTTAAACGTAAGTTCGGCCCGTACCCCCAGGTCGAAGTTACCCGTCGTTATCTTAGAAAAACATCATAATTACCCCTTGTCACATCACCCTATCAATCAGATATACTTGCCACAGGTGACGTCATCGCCGCCTGGAACAACCAATTCCAAGTCCTCGAACTTCAGCCCCCTACAGGTCATCATTACCTGGGTAATACATTAACACATGACCACCGGCCTCATCGACCAATCACAGGAGAATTTGGCGACTCGAGTTCCAAGCTCGGCACTGTTGCTGATTTGACTAATTTGATATAATTTCAGCTGAAACTATGTATAAATAGTTGAATAGGACTCTTGTAACGGGCGAGCAAATTCATATAACGACTTATGACACAATCACACTAAAATGACATCTTTGTGGTCTTTTTGAAGCATAAATCGCATTTTTTCTTAAAATTGGTTCAAAATTATCCTTGCTAATTTTGATGTCAACCTAAACTATTAATAAAATTTAAACTTTTAAATGAAGTTTATTAATAAGTTATTAAAAATAAAATATTTTTTGTATTCTTAACTTGTCAGACTTTTAAATTAAGCGGCTTAATCAAAAGTTAAAATTAGGTGGAATATTGATTAAAAAAAAGATTATGATATGAGTTCTTAAATCATTGCAATAACTCTATTTCTTTCGAAATCGCTAATCGATCATATTTTTTATAGGGGCAATTGAAAATTGCATCCAGTTTTGACCATTATCGTTTTTCTAGTCGAATGGGTCTGAACAATTTGATTCTTTTGTTTTATTTTGTTTTTTTTCCCCCCAAAAAGAGAAATTTTATTTGTACAAAATAAGTTTGAACAAGAAGATTATCATAATGAAAGTGTAGACTTGAATCAGACGGAAATAGATGGGGCAGGCTTGACAATTGACTCGTATTGGAGTGCTTGTTTACCAAAGGTGGGATTTGGGCATGTAAACGTTAGTCTTGCTATTAAAAGAATACGTAAGTGATAAAATTAGGCTACCAACCTAAACAGTTAGCCCTCCATTTTCCCAACTTCCAAAAAAATCAACTAGTTTAATAATTGACAAAATCCTGGTGGAATGACTATTATGACCCTCAATTTTTAAATTGACCCTCCAATTTGCCCTCTTACATTAAACAACCTATGGGCATGTTAATTTGGTAGTTGAGACTCAATGTTGTTGTATGGAATTACTCATAAGAATTTGAATTTTTCCTTAATTCAGTATTATCCGCTCCAACATGCTAAAAATGTCACAAAGTTGTAGCATATGTGAATCTTACAAAAACATGTAATATAGTTGCTTGATAACATCTAAAACACAATCTACGTACTCAGAATAGGGTCACGAGAATATATCTCGAATTGTTGTGCAATAATACAAACGAGCCTAATATTGTAAACTCTTGATGCAAATTGGACTTATTTTTAGTGGTGATTCTTCCACTAGACTTTTTGAAATAAGTATGAAATCATAATTTAGATTGTTGATAAAATCTTCTCCAAATGAACACATTAAAAGTGTCATTTTGAGTGGTAATATAACCTCTCATCAAATTCTTGTTCAAATCCAAATGTTTTAACCCAAAAAAAATAAAAATAAAAATCATGGTATCATTATCTAAAGGCTAAAATAGTAATTTGCTTTGTTTGAAAAGGGCATGTGAACCATGCAGGTATCCTATATAAACAAACCAAATGTGGTAGCTAACTTTTCATTGTTCCTTCATTCCCTCTTAACGTTAACACGAAGTTTGTGAACAAACACAAACATCAGATGATGAGCCATTTTCGCGGGTGTAACACTCTCGTGAATATGATTTTCTTCATATTCTTACTCCTCCTCTGTCCCGGGACTCTATCGACGGCGGCCGGTCAAGAAAAGTCGATTATTGAACTGCCTACTGTAAATGAAGACTTGGTGAATTGGGCTGGCTATGGAGAAGAGCAACTGTCCAGGGTTTTAATCACAGGGGAACTTCTTTGCCATGGTGATGGAAATCATAAAGATTCAGTTCATACTTTGCCAGTTTCTGGTTTGTATAATTTTCTTCTATTCTTCAAGTATTCTTATCTAATATTTGGTGTAGCTTAAAATCTTGTTAAGAATCTAGGTAAAAAGTTAACAATTAATTTTAACTGCACATTTCATGAGACTCACAGCTTTTTAACCATAAATTTATCAACTTTTTATCAAAATTTACTGAAACTTTGGTTTTTCGCTACATCAAACAAGGGCTTAGTATTTTTTTTTTTTTCTTTTTGTGATTTTGCGTGCTCTGAAAGCATCGTTTGATCACCATAATTCAGTTCTTTTGCAATAATTAAATGATGATACTTTTTGAAATGTTGATAAATGTCTAAAATTATAAGATTTTAAATATCGAACATATTTATTTTTTAGAATTTGTCTTTATCAAGAAATCTCATCAAGTGCATACCAAAGTTATTTTTTCATTAAAGGTCTAAAACGAGCATAATTGTTTAAATGCAATACAAGATCGCTTAATTCTAGGATCGAACATGTTGAACTACTAATATATCTCATAGTTCAAACACGCAGATTTAAAACTCATTTATTTAATTAATTAATTATCAAGCTGCAAAAAAAAATCTTAATAGTTTCAAGTCATGAAGGCAGTTTCTTGACCAAAAAATGGGCTGTAAGTATATTTCTGAAAGTGGAAAACCACCAATTCTATGTCCGATCTTTAATTATTGACCTTTAAGTTTTATTTTCTTAAACATAAATATATGGAGTCAAAAGAGAATATTGGTCATGAACATAGATTTCTTTTTTAGTATTAACGAAATTATATTTCAGTGCCCAAAATTCAGGCACATCATTATCGTGAACAGAGATGTGTTTGTTAAGATAAGTTTCACGGTATATAGGTTGCACAAAAATTTCTAATATCCTAGATTTTATTTCGGACGTGTTTTAAAATTCAGAACTTTGGATTTTGCTGCTGCCGAGATTGTGAAGCAGTTAAGAAAGTGGTTACTAAAATCTTTTCATTCTACGTCTAGTTTTTCAATACTGCATACTAAACATGTTCTAAAAATTTATGACAAAATATGCAGATGCATCGATCGCGGTTTTCTGCGGCACCAGCAGCTCCGAGACGAGGAAATCATATGCGATGGGCAGAACGAATGGCTATGGTGAATTTCACATCGATCTTCCGTCCCATCTCCACGCCATTCCGAACTTGGAAAAGATCTGTCTCGTTAAAGTTCTTCATCTTCCCAAAACATGTTCTTGTAGACATGCTTTTACTGGAAAACACAAAGGGATAGAATTAACATCGATTGGCGAAGGCATTCGGACATATACGGCCCATAAAATACATTTGCTATCTAAACCTGCGAAAAGGCACATGAATAGAAGAGCCAAGACGAGGAATAATCTGTAATAAAACGGTGCATTGAGTTGCCCATGACTCGTGTGGATGGCGCTTTAGTCACAACATGAGTTGCATGTAAATTTCACAACCCTGTTACTTGTGTGTACGAGAAAGAGGAAGAGAGAAGACTACATTTGATACAAAGCATGTTTGATATGTAATATTAAATGTGTTTGAACTGTAATGATGAGATATTAATTCTCTGTTTGGTACGGATAAAAATTCAGATTTTAAAATCAAAGTCAACAAATAATTTTAATACATATTTTATGAATCCCACGATTTTTCAACCACACATTTTATCAATTTTGATCAAAATCTTAAAAAAATTGATTTTAATTCCCACAAAAAAGGAGCTAAGTTTATTTTACCTACCTTGTCACTAGATAAATAAGTGGAGTTGTGATATCAACTACGCATGCAAATGAAATATTGGGGATTGGAAAAGTCCTGCACCCAACGTGCCCTAATCCGAATCAGCTTGAACGTGTTTGTGGATTTCATAAAATGTGCGAATAAAAATACGTAATCAATTTAATTTAAATTTTTTATTAACTTTTAATTTGCACCGAACATGGACATGGTATGAACTTCTTTATATTTTCTGGGAAAACGGACTGTATGTCTCGTTGGGCTCAGGCAACCCAACTAACTTGCCATACAAATGCAGGTCACAGCCTCTCATCAGACTACAGGCCCATTTTATTACTTTAATGAAAGTGATGACTTTACAGATATTCTATTTTGTCCAAAAATTATATTAAAAAAATTACATTCTTTTAATAATTTTAATACATTTTTAATTAAAAATCAAAATTTTACATTTACCTCATTTTATAATTTTTTTTAAACATATATCCTCTTAGTTGAAATCAATATTGATTACACTGATTTTATTGTAGAAAACATATCCCTACTATATAAAAAGTGGAATGTGAGGGCACTGTAGAAAACAACAGTGTTTTGATTCATCTTTACTGTAACATTTTTGTTTTGTTTTTTTTCAATTCGGGGCCAAAAACGACGCCGTTTGCTTGATATATATTTTATTTTATTGTACACTACCTCCAAATTTACTGCAACACGCAATTTTCATTCCTCCTCTACTCCGATATAGATATATATAGTAGGGATATAAGAAAGATATTACTTTTATATATATAAAAAAAAAGATAGAGATAATATGCGACAGATTTTTTTTTACACATATTACTTATAAGTAAAAAATTTGAAGAGAAAAGAATTAAAGAGAATTTTAAATTAAAAAAAATATTATAACGTAAAATTATACAACAAAAAAAATATAATCTCTCTATGTACGGAGCAAAAGCCTTCGTGCACGAAGACATTAGTCTCCATGCACAGAGACACTCCATGCACGGAGGGGGGTGGGGGGGAAAAAAAATTAGCTGAAGGCTCCGTGCACGGAGGCAAATGTCTCCATGCACGGAGACACTGTCTCAGTGCATGGAGACAAAATTTATAAATTTTTTTTAAGAAGTAATTGTTCTGTTTATCAATTTATTTAAATTTCTTTTTTATTCTTTTCTCTTTTAAATAAAACTTAATTTTTCAATTTTAACAAAATAATATTTATATATATATTTTTAAATTTTTGTAATTTTTTTATTTTGTTTATTTTGTATTTTTTCAAAATTATTTACAATTTTATTTTTTTTCAAGTGGGGAGCAAAAACTACGCCCGTGCATAGAGTGCATCGTTTTTTTTTTTTTTTGTAGTTTTTTTTTGGGCCTCCGTGCACGGACTCTTCTTTTTTTTTTTTTTTTTATATATATATCTTCAACAAAAAAAAATTTAAAAATTAACAATTTCATAATCACTTTTTCTTATTCCCGAAAATACAATTATAAAAAAGAAAACAATATTAAATTACAAAAATCAATATCTGCCAAATACGGTATCTAAAGACAATATGTGCAAATATGGTATGTTGTAAATATAGTATGATGCAAATACGGTATACTGTATATATGGTATGATACAAATACAATATGCTGTAAATACGGTGTGCTGTATATACGATATAATGCAAATACAATATACTGTAAATACAATATGATGCAAATACGGTGTGCTGCATATACAGTATGATGCAAATACAGTATGCTGCATATACGGTAAGCTGTAAATACGGTATGTTGCATATACGGTATATGTAATGCATATACGGTATGAATGAATCCGATTTCGTCTACTACAATAAATTTCAATACCGTATATGATGTCTACTGTATTTGCAGCTTACCATATATGCAGCCTACCGTATTTGCAGGCAACTTACCGTATATGCTACTTACTATATGTGCAGCTTACCGTATATACCGATTTTTATACTTACAAATACCGAGAGTGCAGAACACCATACATTCACTTATCAAACCGAATGTCAGAAAAAAATTCCAGATTTTTATTTTTTCAACATAAGCATAAAATAAATATTAAAATATATGAAGGACAAAATATAAAACACATATGAATATGCAAGTCGATTTATAATTATGCAGTGACACATATTATACATTTGAAATTTCTTATGTCGGTGTAAAATAACCTTGAAGTCATTCTAGAGCGAATTAACCACTGCAATGTCTATACTAGAAATACAATTGTGCAAATTAATATGAATTAAATCTACATTACATGGGATTTGGATTTATTTATAACAAATATTGGTGATTAGTCTAAAGACAATATTTGCAAATACGGTATGCTATAATACTATATGTTATAGTTAAGATATAACATACTATACGTATATGTTATAATATAGTGTTTAGCATAATATAATGAGAATTATTGTTGTACAATTTTTTTTTTATATTACAACAATATGCATATTACAACATATAACTTACCGTATATGCTATAATACAATCTGTGCGGTCATGCAGCGACTTTTTATTTTTTTTAAAATTTAATCATGCAACCTAATATTTGTTTAGTTTGTTATTTTATTAGTTAAAAATATGCATTAAATCTAATAAAAAAATATAATTACAAGAATAAGTTTAATTTCAATATAATACAAAAAAATCTTAAAGAAATAA